GAAGTTACGTATTGCTTTTCTTAATTCTGCCCTACAGATTGCACTGTTACCCCCCACATTGTACTGCTCCTCCAGTTTCTACCCTGCCTCCAGATTGCACTGTTACCCCCCCACATCATTGCACTGCTGCCCCACTTTCTACTCCTGCCCTCCAGATTGCACTGTTACTCCCCCACATTGTATTGCTGCCCCAGCTTCTACTCCTGCCATCCAGATTCTGCACTACACTCCCACATTGCAACTGCTGCACCCATCACTACCATGCCCCCATCAAAATTGTTACCCCCCCCCCACATTGCACTGCCAGGCCCAGTTTCTACCCATCCAGATTGCACTGTTACTCCACATCTGTAACCACAACCCAGTTTCCCCTAACTCCCTCCAAGATTGCACATTACCCCACATTGCACTGCTCCCAGCTCTCACTCCAGCCCTCCTGATTGCACTGTTACTCACACTGTAATGCCTCCAGTTTCTACCCCCTGCCTCCAGACTGCACTGCCACCCCACACTGCACTTCTCAAACCCCAGCTCTCAACCTGCCCTCCAGACTGCACTGTTACCCCCACATTGAACTGCTGCACCAGTTTCTATTCCTGCCCCAGATTGCACTGTTACCCCCCACATTGTACTGCTTCCCCAGTTTACCCTGCCTCCAGATTGCACTGTTACCTCCACATTGTCATGCTTCCTCCAGTCTCTACTCCTGCCTCCAGATTGCACTGTTGCCCCCCACATTGTACTGCTGCACCCAGTTTCTACTCCTGCCTCCAGGCACAGCCCCCCACATTGAACTGCTGCACCCAGTTTCCTACTCCTGCCCTCCAGATTGCACTGTTACCTCCACACTGAACTGCTTCACTCCAGTTTCTATCCTGCTCCAGATTGACTGCCACCCCCCACTGCAGCCTGCCCCAGCTCACCCCTGCCCAGATTGCACTGCCACCTGCCTGAACTGCTCCCAGCTCTACCCTGCTCCAGATTGCACTGCCACTCCACACTGTACCGCTCCCAGCTCCCTACCCTGCCCTCCAGATTGCACTGCCACCCCACACTGCACTGCCCCAGTTCTACCACTGCTCCAGATTGCACTGCTCCCCCCACATTGTACTTGCTGCACCCAGTTTCTCATTCCTGCCTCCAGATTGCACTGTACCCCACACTGCACTTCCTGCTCTACCCTGCCTCCAGACACTGCCACCCCCCCACATCACTGTACTGCTTCCCCAGCTCTACTCCTGTCCCTCCAGATTGCACTGTTACCCCCCCCACATTGTACTGCTGCCCCCAGCTCTACTCCCTGCTCACCAGATTGCACTTTACCCCCTCCCACATTGTACTTCCACCCAGTTTCTACTCCTCTGCCCACCAGATTGCACTGTTACCCCCACATCTCAATTGCTGCCCCAGTTTCTACTCTGCTCTCCAGATTGCACTGTTTTCACATTGCAACTGCCACTCCAGCTCTACTCCTGCCTCCAGATTGCACTGTTACCCCACACAGGCCAGTTCCAGTTTCTACTCCTGCCCTCCAGATTGCACTGCCCCACATTGTCACTGCCCCAGTTTCTACTCCTGCCCTCCAGATTGCAATGTTACCTTCCCACACAAATTGCTGCCCCCCAGTTTCTCCTTCCTCCAGATTGCACTGTTACCCCCCATTGTACTGCTCCCCAGTTTCTACTCCTGCCCTCCAGATTGCACTCTACACCCCCACATTGCACTGCTTCCCCAGTTTCTACTCCTGCCTCCCAGATTGCACTGTTACCTTCCCCACATTGCACTGCTGCCCCCAGTTTCCACTCCTGCCTCCAGATTGCACTGTTACCCCCCACATTGTACTGCTTCCCCCAGTTTCTACTCCTGCCCTCCAGATTGCACTGTTACCCCCCCACATTCCGTACTGCTTCCAGTTTCTACTCCTGCCTCCAGATTGCACTGTTACACCCCCACATTGTACTGCTTCCAGCTCTACTCCTGCCCTCCAGATCATTTTCCCCACATTGTACTGCTCCCCAGCTCTCCTGCCTCCAGATGCACTGTACACCCCCATTGTACTGCTCCCAGTTTCCTACTCCTGCTCCAGATTGCACTGTTACCCTGCCACATTGTACTGCTGCCCCCAGTTTCTACTCCTGCCCCTCCACATTGCACTGTTACCTCTCCACATTGTACTGTTACCCCCTCACATTGTACTGCTTCCCCAGTTTCTACTCCTGTCCTCCAGATTGCACTGTTACCCCCTCCCCACATTGTACTGCTTCCATTTCTACTCCTGCCATCCAGATTGTACTTTACCCCCCACATTGTACTGCTTCCCCTAGTTTCTATTCCTGCCTCCAGATTGCACTGTTACCCCCACATTGTACTGCTGCCCGCAGTTTTACTATTGCCCTCCAGATTGCACTGTTACCCCCCACATTGTACTGCTTCCCAGTTTCTACTCTCCTCTCCAGATTGCACTGTTACCCCCCACATTGACTGCTGCCCCCAGTTTCTACTCCTGCCCTCCAGATTGCTATTTGTGATCTTGCTTTCAAAAAAAATTTCCAAAGTCCTTGTTGACCTTTTGTACGTCATCATATTTTCAAAGAAATTAAACATGGAGGAGTTTTCTCGTTCTTTTGTGCAGGGAAATCTGATTGAATTGAGTTGATTATCTCAAGCACATAATATGGAATATTAGGTGTCATACGGAGGCGAATTCTTTCTTTTTTGAGCTCTGAAAAATCGGCCCATGGTATTAATGATGTAGTTCTATGCAGAATCATGTGACATCTTCAGTTTTGAAAAGTTTTTATTTTTGCTAGGTAAATTTTAACTTGAAATCTTATGAAAAATTCAGTATCTGCACCCTTTTACCAACACCACTCAAATAGCTTATTTAAAGTAAATTACTGCATCAGGTTGACTTATTAGATGAAATGACACATTTATTAAATTTAATATTCTTTAGAAATAAAATCATCAAATACAAAACCTGTTTTTTACTATTACTACGGCACTGTGTTGCTGCACACTATAGAGAACATGTCTTTCTTGTTTGCTTCTTTACCACTTCCCTTGCTGACCACCTGAGCCTGGATGTAGCTCTCCTCCTCTCCTGGCTGCACATGACTGTTGGCCTGGCCACTTGCACACAACGCCCATACTCTGTGCGAGGCTGTACAGGACATGCATGGGGTTGTCCAGAAAGTTCACCTGAACATTGAGGCTGTGCCCACTGCCAGCCTGATGTTATCCAAATCTATATGAGATCAGTGAGGGTCTTGGCACCTAGATTGACTTCCAGGAGTCTTCTGACCCTGAAGGAACTGCCACCAACTGGGATCTGTCAAGTGCCCAGATCCTCTCATAAGTCTCATATCCAAGATCTTTTTTTTGACTGCCACTTCTTTCTCTCCTCTCATCCTACTGCAGAGCATTGGTCTGCAGAACTGCCTCGGGATGAGACACCAGGAAGATCTCTCACAGCCTGCTCCACACCTGAACACCTTCCTTGGCTGACTCAGGAGCCTGCCAAGAGAACATGCTCTCGACTCTGGAGAACGATGACTTGACTCTTGGTGTTGAAACCACGGCAGCAGACACTCATGATGAATTGACAATAAGTCTCAGGTTGTAGTTGGTTCCTTTCAGTTTATGATGAGCGACCCAAATTCTGCAGTCCTGAGAGCTGCCAGGAGCCACCCAGAATGTGAGACTGACCCATTCTGCAGGTAAGCAAGTCTAGGCATGACCCCAGTTTTGATGGCACTGTAAAGCATAAATCATAGTACTGATCAGTACTCAGGTTGTCAATACAGTATGTGCAAGCTCAACGAGTGGAGGGCCAACTGTGATTTTTTTCAAAGCTCGGATTTATTTCTAACTCAGTGGCAGAGTCCACATCTTGCCAAGAGACCAGACCATCTGTTGCTCTGGAAAGAGTCTTGCCATCCAGCTCCTGATCAGATGTCTGAGTGGCAACCTGTTGGTGTGGAGGTCACAAACAATCCAGACCAGCTTCCTCCCAATCTTCCATGCCTCTATCCACTGTATGACCCCCTTGCCACCCCTGTGTTCGCTGTGTTGCTGGTGCTGTCCCCTCCAATGTCCCAGCAGGGTCTGGTCTACGTTCCTCTCTCTGAGCCAGTTCACACGTTATCTTTGCCACTATCTTCAGCTGGTTTCTGATGTCATCTTTCTCTGAGAGTGAAATGCCACAAATATTTCCCTCCTCTATTCACTATACAGCAGGAGTAGTGTTCCTCCTTCACCATGGTTATGGGAACAACTTGTCAGAATTCCAACTTTCATGAATACCAGTGTCATCCTTTCTCCCATTTCAAAGAACAAACACTGATTCCATTTTTTCTATCCCTTAGACAACCTCTAGGTTACTGACAAGTTTCTCCTGAGCTCCATTTTGTTATGATCTACTCAGGTGAACATCATCAGGTGTTATCAAACCACTGCTGGATCCAGGCAGCTGTTGGGTTATCTCTGCAGTTTCTTCTGGAGACCAGTGTGGTGTCGCATGCTGGAAGCCAGATGCCTGACATTCTTTCCTATTTCTGAATCTTTTATGCCTGGAAGGTTTAGGATCATTATTTTCAAGGGACAAAGCTCATTCTCCTTGGTCAGCACTCTCGATCAGCTTGGGAAGCCACAAGGTTTCGAATCAGCTTGACTCCACCACGCCTTGCCCTAATTCTGGCCTTTCAAGTCTTTCTCTCGGCAACTTTTTTCTCCTCTTTCTGTCTCTTCAGGCAGCTCTCCTGTCTCTTGACCTGGAATATCTTGGCTAGAAATCATGAGAGCCCTTTACACTGCCAGTCTTCTCTCTCTCTGTGCTTTGACAAATGCCAGTTCGATCACAGGAATCTTCTTCAGTTCACGCTTGCAAATACAGGAGATGTGGGCCTCGACTTTACAGTCACGATCGCATCCCAAACTCAGACAGAGAACAACTGGGCACTTGCAAGCACTATGTCAAATAACTGGTCCAGTTGTTTGGCAAAGCTGTCCTTAATCGTGTAAGTTTTTCTCTCCCAAGAGATATCTTGCCTTTTCCCAACTGGCTAGCAGTCTCACTAATCTTCTTCTGACTTGTTATGACTGGAGGCTTGAACTGAGCGTTAAAGCCAGAGTGTACCTTTCGTGCCAAGACAGTTTAATATATATCCCTGGCAATGTCTTTTGTTTGTGTAAGTTCTTTGGTTCTTTCACTGATTTGCCTGATTAAAACACCGTATCTCAAAGCATCTCTCAATGTAGGCAACCTGACTTCAGGAGCTCTCCCAGACTCAAGATAGTGACTGAGATGGCTGGATTTTGGTTCCTGTCCTGACACACAAGCAGCCATCGCAACATATCAACTTATAAATGCATCAGAATTCGAAAAATATTGTTGTTGGGTTGTTAAAGAACGAAGCTTCTGAAAGCAATGTTCACTATTTAATTGTAATGCACTAATACGGCTGTACGTTGAATTTTCGATAAATTTCTATCTTTAAATTTACCTAGCAAAAGGTTGCAAAATATTGAAACTGAAATTATTTTCTGTTTATATACACTAAAATCTACCAAAAAAGTGATGGGCCATTAGTTTTAGCTGATCTTCCCTCCTATGACACACCCTAATGGATATGAGTATACTGTATATTTATTACTGTAAGGAATGTCTCATTATTTGTCACTTTCTTGAGAAACATTATCACCATTCAATTATCATGATTCTGGTTGTACCTTACTGTACTTTTTATATAATTCTCTCTTGTCCATGTTATGTACTTAGAATATCATTACCTATATGCTTGTAGTTTAATAATTTACGAGTTGATTTTTGCATAAAATGCGGTGCGCTGATTTATTTTAGTTTTGAATAGTGATAAATAAATTCAGTGTTCTCTTGTATAATTTGTTTTATTTACAAATGATTTGATTACAGAAATTACAATTAACAAAGTCACATAATTATGCCGTATCTTGCTCCCCTAGATCGGTTATGAATCTGACGACGGACCTTACAAAAGATGAGGATGGTGAGGCCAGTATGAAAAATGATGAGGCCAGGATGAAGGATGATGGAGATAGGATGAAGGATGAGAATGTTGAGGCCAGGATGAAGGATGGGAATGTTGAGGCCGGAATGAAGGATGAGGATGTTGAGGCCGGAATGAAGGATGAGGATGTTGAGGCCAGGATGAAGGATGGGAATGTTGAGGCCGGAATGAAGGATGAGGATGTTGAGGCCAGGATGAAGGACGAAGATGATGAGGCCAGGATGACGGATGCAGATGTTGAGGCCAGGATGAAGGAGGAAGACGAAATCAAGAATGACCTATCAAAAGTGACATCCTTAGAGGAACTGCTGCAGATTGTGGCACCCCACGGTCGCTGGCACTTCTTCATCATAACCTTATGTGCATTCAGTGAGTACATCTGGCACACCTCTCATCTGCCCCCTATTACCCTACCCACCTCTTCACACTGCTCTGCCCACCACCCCTCACTACTCTGCCCATTATCAATCACTGACCTGCCCACCACCCCTCACTGCCCTGCCCACCACCCCTAACTGCCCTGCCCATTATCACTCACTGCCCTGCCCACCATCCCTCACTACCCTGCCCACCACCCCTCACTACCCTGCCCACCATCCTCACTACCCTGCCCACCATCCTCACTACCCTGCCCACCACCTCACTGCCCTTGGTTTCACACCCCTAACTGCCCTGCCCATCACCACCACTGCCCTGCCCACCATCCTCACTACCCTGCCCACTCACCCCTCACTACCTCCCCACCACACCCCTCACTACCCTGCCCACCACTTCACACCCCTGCCCATTATTACTCAGTACTGGCCCATTATTACTCAGTACTCGGCCCACCACCCTCACCACGCCCATTACTCAGCACTGGGCCCACCACTTCACTACTCCCGCCCACCACCCCTCACTACCCTGCCCATTATTACCAGTACTCGGCCCACACCCTCTACTCCATTTGCCCATTATTTCTAGGTACTCGGCCCACCACCTCACTACCCTGCCTACCACAACTCACTGCCCTGCCCACCACCCCTCACTGCCCTGCCCATTATCACTCGCTAAGCTGCCCACCACCCCTCACTGCCCTGCCCATTATCAATCACTAAGCTGCCCACCACCCCTCACTGCCCTGCCTTGCACCCCTCACCTCACCTCCCCACCACCACTCACTGCCCTATCTTGCACCCCTCATTGCCCTACACACCACCACTCACTGCCCTACCCACCACCACTCACCGCCCTGCCCTGTACCCTTCATTGCCCTTCACACCACCACTCGCTTCCTTACTCATCACCACTCTGCTCTGGCCACCACCACTTAACATGCTGCTTTGCACTTCTCACTATTCTACCCACCACCACTCACTGCCCTCTCTGCCTTATGGTGCGCCACCTAACCCATTTGTATTGTGTGTATTATAACCATAAATATTCTGTGGGAATTATAATATTCAGTGATATATTAGATGTATCAATTGATCGAACAAAATCATATTCAAAATGTTTAATACTATGGAAAATCCATCTTTTGTTTGGAGTCGTTCAGTTGTGTTTAACGCCACCTTGTACACTGTTTTGGGTCACACCCATACACAAAGTGTCATCTTACTTTAAAAATATTTGTTTGAATAATAGTGTTCACATGATGGTGGGACAGAAATACGGACTCGCAATCGATCGCTGAGGAAAAAATAAATTAATTTCTTCAATCAGTCGAGTCAGTATTGAACAGCATCATGAAACTGGATATTAATCATCTGCCAAATAGCTTAACTGACCATCTTCTTCCTGCAGATGGATTTGTCGGTCCGTGGAGCGCCATGACGTACCAGTTCTTGGGTGCCACTCCTGATTACTGGTGCCTCGTAGCTCCTCTGGTGGAGGCCAACTGGACCCAGGAGCAGATCTTCAACCTTGCCATACCCACCAAGTAGGTGTTCACACCATGCACCATTCACAAAAACTAGAAAGTTAATTTTTAAAAAGTTCCGAGGACTACAGCAAGGGCAGTACAACATAATACAGGCAAAGGAGACAAACAACTTATAAAGAATCTTCTAATACGAAATCGAAATACAGGATTATGAGTTGTAAGGAAACAACTTTGTACTTCGAAAATTAATTATATATTGAAAATGTTCAACTTGACGCAGACACATGAGTATCTGGGGAAGAAGAGACATAACATGTGTTGAGTTAGTGACACACATAACATGTGTTGAGTTAGTGACACACCTGTCACGTCTCACACACCTAATGAAATGAGGCCTTTACAGTTTTTTCTAGCATTAATATTAGTGTCTTTAAAGTGTCCATAACACACACTTACCTACAGCTAGTTAATCATTCCTATTTGGTGCAATGATTTCATCCATAGCCACACTAACGGTTTGGTTAATGGTTCACAAATTTATTGGCAAAGTTTGGAGTACAACACCCACCACCCTCTACCACACCCACCACCCTCTACCACACCCCAACAACCCCCACCACCCACACCACCTCTCACAACACCCACCAACTCTACAACACCCACCACCCCACCAACCACCACCAACCCCACCACACCCACCAACCCCCCACCTCACACCCACCAACCCCTACAACACCCACCATCCCCCACAACACCCAACCCCACCACACCCACCAACTCTGCACCACACCCAACCCCCACCAGCCAGCCACACCACACCCACCACACCCACCACCATCTACCACACCCACCCACACCCCCACACCCACACCACCCCCACCACACCCACCACCCCCACCACACCCACCACCCCCACCAGCCACACCACACCCACACCCACCACTCAACACCCACACCCCCACCACACCCACCAACCCTACACCAATCCCACCACCCTCCTGACACCCACACCCCCCACCCACACCCACCACCCTACACACCCACCATCCCCTCACAACACCCAACCTGTACCACACACCCAATCCTGCACCACACCCACCACCCTCCCAAACCCACAACCCCACTACACCCACCACCCCCACAACACTGACCACCCCACCACAACCCAACACCCCACCACCCCACCACCCCCCCACCACCCACACCAACTCCACAACACCCACCCAACTCCACAAACCCACCACCACACACCCACCACCCCACCACCCACACCACCCCCACCACACCCACCACCCCCACCCACACCCAACACCCCCACTACAACACCCACCATCCCTCACAACACCCACCCACACCACACCCACCAACCTGCACACCCACCCAACCCCCACCAGCCAGCCAACACCACACCCACCACACCCACCAACCATCCACCCCAACCCAACAAACCCCACCCCACCCACACACCACTCCACCACAACCCACCACCCCCACCACCAACCCACCCCAAGACCCACACCCCACACCCACCACACACCCACCAACTCTAACACCCACACCACTCTACCACACCCACCACCCCACAACACACCCACCATCCCCCACAAACACCCAACCTGCACCACACCCACACCTCTGCACCACACCCACTCACCCACACCCACCACCCTCCAAACCCACAACCCCATCACTACACCCACCCACCCCACAACACCGACCCCACCACACCCAACCCCACCATCCACCACCTCCCCACCACCATCTACACACCCCCCAAATCCACCCAACTCTCACACCCACCACCCACCACCACACCCACCACCCCACCACCCACACCAACTCCACCACACCCACCACCCCCACCACACCCAACACCCCCACAACACCACCCACCATCCCCACAACACCCAACTCCACCACACCCAACCTGCACCACACCCACCACCCCACCACAGCCACACCACACCCACCACACCCACCACCATCCACCACCCACCAATCCCCACCAACCCACACCAACCCCCACCAAACCCACCAACCTCCACCACACCCACCACTCCCACCAGCCACACCACACCCCACCACACCCACCAACTCCAACACCCACCACAACTCCACCAACCCAACCAACCTACACCACCCAACCAACTCCACAACACCCACCAACTCCACATCCACCAACCCCACCACAACCAACCAACCCACCAACTACCACAACCCCACCACACCCAACCAACTCCCACCACACCCACCACCTCCCACCCACCACCTCCCCACACCCACAACCCCACCACACCCACCACCCCACCACACCAACCTGACCTCCACCACACCCAACACCCTCCACACCCACCCCACACCACCCACACCACCCCCACCACACCCACCACCCCACAACACCCACCACCCCACCACACCCACCCCACCCCCACCACACCCACCCACCCCCACCACACCCACCACCCCCACCACCCACCCACCCCCACCACACCCACCTCCCCACCACACACCCACACCCCACACACCCACCACCCCCACCACACCCACCACCCCACAACACCCACCACCCCACAACACCCACCAACCTCCACCACACCCACCACCCCACCACACCCCACCACCCCACTCAACCCCCCACCCACACCCCACCACACCCACCACCTCTCCACCCACCCCACCCCCACACACCCACCCACCCCCCACACCCCACCCACCCCCACTACCCCACCCACCCCCCACACCCACCATCTACCACACCCACCCACACTCCACCACTACCCACCACCCCCAACACTGACTCCAACTACCCCCACCACACCCACCACACATCCACCACACTCACCAACTCTCCACCACACCCACCCCACCACACCCACATCTACCCCACCACCCCCACTGACCCCACCACACCCACCACACATCACCTCACCCACCACCCCACCACACCCCACCACCCCCACAACACCACCACCTCTACCACACCCACCCACCCCACACCCACCACTCACTCACACACCACACACACAACAACTCACTACCACACACACCCACCACCCCCACACACCCACCACCCACTTCACACCTCCACCACTTCACTACTACCTCACCCACTCCTCCACCACTCTACTCACCCACACCACCACCTACCACACCCACCCACCTCAACAACTCCCACCACACTCTACCACTCCACGCCACACCAATACCACACCCACCACCATACTACACCACCACACACCACCCCACCCCCACCCCAACCCACCCACTCCACACCCACAATCCACTACACCCACACCACCCACAACACCACCCCCACCCACCCCCACCACCCCACCCACCACATCCACCACACCAACCCACCCAACCCCCACCACACACCACCACCACCACCCACCACCCCACCACTCCCCACAACCCCACCACACCCACTCACTCCCACACCCACACCACCCCACTTACACCTACCACTCCCACACACCCACCCACAACACCCACCACCACACCCACCACCCTCTACCACACCCACCCCCACACACCCACCACCCCCACCCCCACACCCCCAAACCCCCACCCCCACTCACACCCCCACCACACCCCACTCACCCCACCCCACCCACACCACCCCACACCCACACCACCCCCACCACACTCACCCAACCCCACCACAACCACCCCACCTCACACCACCCACCCCCACCACCCACCAACCCCCACACCCACCCCACCCCACCAACCCCCCCCACTCACCCCACACACCCACCAATCTACCACACCCACCCACCCTCTACTACACCCACCAACTCCCCACCACACCACCCACACTACCACCCCACACCACCATCTCACACCACACTACCCATCTCACCACACCCACCACCCCACCACCCCCACACAACCCACCCCACAACACCCACCAACTCCCCACACCCACAACCCCACAACCCACCCCACCCCACCACACCCACCACCCCACACCACCCACCCCACCCCACCACCCCCACCACCCCACCACCCCCACACCCCCACCACACCCACCACCCCACTACCACCATGACACATCCACACCCCACCACACACCCACCAACCCCACCACTCACACCAACCCCACCACACCACTCCCTACCACACCCACAACCCTCTACCACACCCACCTGCACCCTCCACCACACGCAATCCACCCCAAACACCCACCCACCCTCCACACCCATCCCCCACACCACCCCACACCCCACCACACACCCACCACCCCACAACACCCACACCCCACCACACCCACCACCCCACCACACCCACCCTCCTCACCACACCCACTCCACCCCACCACACCCACCACCCTGCCACACCCACCATACCCTCCACTACACCCCATACTCTCACCACACCCACCACCCCACCACACACCCACCACCCCTACCACACCCACCACCCTACCACACCCACCACTCCCTTCACCACACCCACCACCCCACCACACCCACCCAACCCCCACCAACCCCACCCACCCCACCACACCCACCCCACCCCACACCACCCCACCCACCCCCCCACACCCACCACCCCCACCACTCCCCACCACCCCCACACCCCACCACCCACCCACCACACCCACCACCACCACACCCACCACACCCCCACCACCCCACCCCCCCCACCACACCCCACCACCCCACCACACCCACCACAGCTCCACACACCCACACCATCTCCACACACCCACCACCCCACCACACCCACCACCCCACCACCCCCACCACCCACCACACCCACCAAGACCACAACCCACCACCCCCACCACACCCACCAACACCCAAACCCACACCCCACCACACCCACCCACCCCACCACACCCACCACCCCACCACACCCACCACCCCCACCACACACCCACCCACCCCCACCACACCCACACACCCACTCACACCCACACCCCCACCACACCCACCACACCCCACCACACCCACCACACCCTCTACACAGACCCACAACCCCACCACACCCACACCCCCACCACACCCACCCACCCCACCACACCCACCACACCCCCACCACCCCACCAC